AAACTACTAAAAACAGTCAGAAATCTAAAATGAGGCTTGTTAAGCGCCTGTCATTGGATGAGATGCGCCATTGATAGCGGGCAATGACAACATTTGAACAAACAACTTATGAGGTTAATTTAGTGCAAGGATATTATTCCCAACTCGAAGAACGTGATGCGAATAACAAGCAGAAAGCTATGAAATCCTGAGGAGATTATCTCAGAATTCCAAACAAAACGAGCAAACTTGTCTAGTTGGTTTTGCCAGGACACACTATTGCAGTAGTCAGAGCGCCTTGCTGCGGCAACGACCATATGTGTCAGAGTGAGCAATTGTGGCAAGGAAATTGGCCGAGTCAGCAGATCCCTTCGCTAGCAGGGGCCTCCTACGATTCTTCTCGAGGCAATTCCATTCTAATCTACCCTTTGATTCTTTACCTTTACCACTTTACTGAAATAATCCTCCAAAAACCGGCGGGCCAGTGGCAATAATTCGATATTGTTATCAAAAGCATGCTGGGTTTAGGGTGAAAGGTGCGAGTATGATTCCGGCCTGGGGCGAAGAGTTTTTTTCAACCCAACGCCGTTGTGATAACTTTCGATAACTGGCAAATTGCGACGGAAAACTCGTCTAACAACCAAAAACTAGTATAGGAATCCAAGATTGTATCCTAAAGTCAATCCTCTCACATCAAATGCTGCCCTTTTCCATCGTGAATTTCTCGACCACAGTCCACCTTATCTGCAGGGCATCTTGCTTGCCCGTATGCCACCACCGGGGGACGACGAATATGGCAAAGGTATTGAATCATAGACTGTTCTATTCGGCTCGCTTTCCGGGTTAAGGCGGCCAGGGAGCGAGTTTTTGGCAGTACGAATCATTTTCGCTGCGTGAACCTCAGGCTTTCCCTCATGGTTGGACCTGGAGATCCCGCAGCGGAAAGCAAAAAAGTCGCTCTTTGTACTCGCGACCCTGACGTGCTTACCTTGCCAACTTCAGCTAACCTTTCTAGATTGAGCAGTGTTATTCTATGCGTAGCACTTGCGGTGCCATGTCGCGTATCTGTTTACGGGCTCAGCACATTTTCATCATCATGTCACGGTTTTTGCACATTAGAACTCATTAGTTTGCGTGACGGGGTCGCCCATGTCACTCTTCGGAGTGACTATAGCGACCAAAAACTGTGCTGTGGATAGCAGGCTTCCGCACGACAAGTAGTGATGATTCGCTGCTTATCTGTTGTTAATGCCGTCTTAAAGACTTCATAATCTAGGCGCTTACGCCTCTTTCGCACCATCAACGCTCATTTTTTGTCGCATTTCGCACGTACTAATAGCTCAGTCGCCTAAATAAGAGCAGTCAACTAAAAATTTCATTCTCCAAGAAGGTACGTTTTATGGGGTCTTTTTCCATTTCTGATGAAGTCTACATGAAGAAGTACCATTGCAGGTGGTGATGGATTTGCGCTAAAAATTAACGAAATGCTTGTCGTTCTAAGCGGTTATGTTGGAGTCGATATCATTGTAAGGGATCGCTGTTGTATTGCCGTTTTGTTAAAATACATTTGTAACCTCATGCACTTTTCTATAACCATTGCAATCCTAAATTATCAAAAATAACATGCTTGCTGAAGATTCGCTTGAAAAAAGTTATTCGATGTCTCGATCAAGTGAATGACATCAACTTTTGGTGATTGGCGTCGTTTGGGCGAAATGCAGTGTCTACTTCAGGGAAATAACATTCATACCTTTCAAAACAATTTTGCGCCGAAAGATCTTGGAGTCAAAGTGGATGTCCTGGTTTTAATCAGCGCGCGGATTTACTACCGCATAAATGTAAGCATGTGGATTACCATATATGTGAGCGATAAGCCCTCACCGTTGAAATGTGAATATAGAGATGCCAAATGATGCGTTTGTGAATGAAAAAAAAAAAGCAAAATGGTCAAGAACCCGAACGGCACCCTCTTCTCCCCCTCCCCTGATTACAAATTGGACGAGCTAACCAGGGGTGTTTACCCTTCGCTGGCCGCTGAAACATCTATACTTTTGTAATTATACCGTTCGTGTCATTTCATATTTATTATATATCGCCACTATAACATTT